ATAGAAGGAGGCAGAGAGAAGCATCCAACAGATCACATTAAGATCAATTACTTGGCCTAGAACATAAAACTGGTCATGGCCACATTCTTTTTTTTTTTTTGAGTTGGAGTCTCACTCTGTCACCCAGGCTGCAGTGCAGTGGCATGCTCATGGCTACCACAGCTTAGACCTGCTAGGCTCAGGCAATCCTTCCACTTCAGCCTTCCAAATAGCTGGAACTACAGGGATGTGAGACCAAGCCCAGCTAATTTTTTGATTTATTATAGAGATGAGGTCCCGCTATGTTGCACTTTTGATTGGGCATGGTAGCTCACATAACCCCAGCATTCTGGAAGGCTGATGTGAGAGAGTTGCTTGAGTCCAGGAGTTTGAGACAGACTGGGCAACATAGTGAGACCCCTATCTCTATTTCAAAAGAAAAAGAAAAAATAAAGACCATTTTGATAAAACTCCCTTTAAAAAGTTAAATAGGTTTAGTGTACATCTAGAAAGTGCTAGATATAAAATGTAAACTAGAAAAATTCCAAAGTAGATATAGACCAATAGATAAACCTGAACTACCAAAATTAAGCATTTGACACAGAGACCAAAAACAATTTTCTAGAATTTGAGTTGAAAATGAAAGTTAATCATATACAAATTTTATCTCATCTGACAGGGGTCAATCTATACTAATTGTATACTTATGGTATAAATGAGTATACTGCATAATTTTCAATGTTTGCTGTCACTGTTTTAGTATTAATTTCAGTTCATTAAAAAATTATAGGTGAAAAGTTCTGTGTGTGGTAAAAAAAAAAAAAAAAAAAAAAAAAATGACAAGTGACTTGTGTCCTTGAAAATTTTGAGAAATTCAATTTTTAACAATTGTAACAAAATTTCCATGAGTAAAACAAAGTACGAAAACATAATGAAATCCTCTTAAGCTGCCCAGTTCACATTAGTTCTAAAATACCCACATACCAAAATCTTTCTCATCTTTTCCCATTCCCAACCCTCTCCTGCTATACTCCAGCCTTACCAAACTACCTACAGGTTTCAAAAGCTCATTTAGGCAACATCACTTCTACTAACACTCTCCTTCTGCCTGGAATATCTTTATACCTGACATATAAGTTGAGTTTATTCACCTGGCTTATTATCATGTGTCTTTCAGGATTCACATGAGTATCACCTTGTCTGGAAACATTTTCCTGACTTTATCTGTCTAAATTAAGTTTGAGTTTGAGTTCACATCAAACCCCATGCTCTGCATCAAACCCCATGCTCTGCTCTCTATGAGAGCATTTATCACATTGTGCTGTCATTGTTTGCTCCCTTATCTATCCTCCTACTAATCCCAAAGTTTACTGAGGCAGGACATATGTTTTATCCTTGGTATTCCAGTATCTGGTTCACAGTACATGTTTAAAAATAGTGTTTGTTGAAGACACTGGGGACAGGGGAGGAGGGCAGGGGAGGATAATAGATCTATATATAAAATATAAAACTTTAATAATAAAATACAGGAGAACTGGCGAAGTGATCAAAGTTAATATCATTAATGATTAAGTCACTATAGCATGTACCCCGATATCACGCAAAGGGCACTTCACTCCCACTCTATTCTTTCCCAAAACCCCTAACCCCAATATAATCATAAGCAAAACTTAAGACAAACTCAAATTATGGGAGATTCTACAAAATACCTGACCAGCACCTCAAAACTATCAAGGTGATGGAAAATAAGGAAAGACTAAGAAACTTTCAGAAACCACAGGTGAAGGAAACATGACAAGCAAATGGAACGTGGTATCCTAGACTGGGTCCGGGAATAAAGTGAAAAAACTAGTTAAATTAAGTTTAGCTGATAATAATGTACCAATGTTGATTTCTCAGTTTTGACACAATGTGCCATGGTAATAACAGCTATCAAAAGAGAGGAAACTAGGTGAGGGGTATACCAGAACAATCTGCACTATTTTCAACTTTTCTGTAAACCTAAAACAATTCAAAATAAAATAATTTATTTTTTAAAAACAGGTGTAAGATTTGTGGCCAAAGCAAAAAGTTCTTAGATATGGCACCAAAAGCATGATCCATAAAATAAAAAATTGATATACTGAACATAATCAAATTTTCAAACTTTTGTTCTAGAAAAGACATGGCTAAAAGAAATAAAAAGTCACAGTCTGAGAGGAAGCATTTGCAAATTATACATTCTAAAAAGGATTTACATCCAAAATATATGAAGAACTCTCAAAATCAAGAGTAAGAAAATAACCCAATTAAAAAGTATGCAAAAGTTCTGAAGAGATACTTTAACGGAGAGAAGATATAATGGGCAAATAGACACATTAAAGATGTTCAACAGTAAAATTTGATGAGCTGCAACCAGAATGGCTAAAATAAAAAATACTGACAATACCAAGTGCTGGTAAGGATGTAGAAACAGGAACTCTCACACACTGTTGGTGGGAATGGAAAATGATACAGCTACTCTAGAAATCAGTTTGGCAATTTCTTATAAAGTTAAACATACATTTACCATATGACTTAGCAATCCCACTCTAGGCATTTACCCAAGTGAAGTGAAAATGCATTTTCACACAAAAAATCTGTACACAAATATTTATAGTCTCTCTATTCATAAATGCCAAAAGCTTGAAGCAATCTGAATATCCCTCAACGAATGAATGAGTAAACTGTAGTATATTCTTCGAATAAAATACTCAGCAATAAAAAGAAAAAATATTGATACACAGAATTATTCAAAGGATCTCAAAGGCACCATATTGAGTAAAAGAAGCCAGGTTCCAATTGTTACATACAGTATAATTCTATTCATATGAGACTCTCAAGAGGACAGAACTACAGTGTCCAAGAACAGATCAGCAATTTCAAAGATTATAAGGATATGGGGAGAGTGTGCCTAGGAAGGGACAAGAAAGTTTTTTTCAGGGGGTTACAGAACTGTTCTATCTTGGCAGGGCATGGTGGTTCATATCTGTAATTCCAGCACTTTGGGATACTGATGGGAGGACTGCTTGAGCCCACAAATATGAGACCAGCCTGGGCAACATAGCAAGACTGCATCTTTTTAAAAAAACCAAAAAATTAGCAGGGCATGGTGTTGCGTACCTATAATCCCAACTACTTGGAAGGTTGAGGTGGGAGGACTGCCTTAGCCCAGGAGGTGGAGGCTGTGGTGAGCCATGATAGTGCCACTGCACTACGGCTTGAGTAATGTAGTGAGATCCTGACTCAAAACAAGAGGTGGGGGCATAGGGACCAAGATCTAGTGTTCTATAGCACAATAGGGCAATTATAGTTAGCAATAATTAATTTCTTGCATATTTCAAAATAACTAAAGGAGTAGAATAGGGTTTTTTTTTTTGAGCTAGAGTCTCACTCTGTCACCCAGGCTAGAGTGCAGTGGCACATTACTCATGGCCACTGCAGCCTCAGCCTTCCAAGTAGCTGGAACAACAGGTGCACACCACCACACCCAGCTGATTTTTATAATTTATTGTAGAGACCAAGGTCTCATCAAGTTGCCAGACTGGTCTCATCAAGTTGCCAGACTGGTCTGGAACCCCCGGGCTCAGGCAATCCCCTAGCCTCAGCCTCCCAAAGTGCTGGGATTACAGGCTGAGCCACAGCACTCAGTCGGAATGTTCATAACACAAGGAAATGGTAAATACTTGAGGCACTGGATACTTCAATTATCTTGATCATTACATATTTTATGCTTGTATTAAAATATCACATGTACCCCATATATGTGCAATTATTATATATCCAAAATAATAAAAATAAAAACAAAACAAAACAAAGAAGAACAACAACAAAGAAAAAATCTTCAACAATAAAAGTCTGCTTGCAAGGTTGGCTCTTGGCTGGCACCTGAGAATTTAGATCTGAAGAGGGTTCTCACCATTCCTACAACTGATTAAGAGTTATTCACAGTGCCTAAATTGTTTATACAAAAAATGTGGTGTATGCTTAACACCTGCTTTCCTTCTTGAAGTCTGAAATTTTGGTATGGAAGAGTGAGAGGATGCCTATATGACCAGCCCCCAATTAAAAATCTTGGGGACAGAGACCCTAACAAGCTTCATTGTTAGGACATGTTTCATATGTGTTATCAAAACCTGTTACTAGCCGGGCTCGGTGGCTCAGTCTGTAATCCCGTGCCTTTGGGAGGGTGAGGTGAGTGGATTGCCTGAGCCCGCAGGTTCGAGACCCGCCTGGGCAGTGAGACCTCATCTCTACAATAAATCAAAAAATCAGCCGGGCGTGGTAGCGCATGCCTGTAATTCCGGCTACTTGGAAGACTGAGGAA